AAAAAAAAAAAAAAAGACGAAGATCTCCAGTACACGACTGCAGATTCTAATTTGAATTGCTACTCTGCCACAGTTAAGTTCTTCTTAGGCCTTCTATTAGTGATATAAACACGGCAAACATTGATACAATAATTAATTTTTAAAGTGTTTTATTTTGTATAAGCTAACTTAATTTTTCACCAACTTTTATTAGAATATGAACGCTATGAGGATAGGGATTCGTGCAGGTTTTTGTTTACTTTTGTAGTCTCAGTACCCAGAACAATGTCTGGTATGTAGTAGGTGTTCAACATATAAATACTTGTTGAATGAATGAATGAATTTAACACTCCTTACATCCTCCAAATTGGAGATATTATTATCCCTTTTTACAGAGAAAGAAACCGAGGCTCAGAAGAGTGAACAAATTATTTAAATTTCCATAACTGTTCAGTGGAGGAACTTGGAGTCAGGTCTCTCTGACTCCAAGGTCCATACCTCTTTCTGCTTTGTATGGCCAAAACTCCATGGTTCTCACAGAGTTGGGTGGTATTCCCGCTCAAGAATGTCAAAACTCTTTGGGTGGGTGCCTGGCTGGCTCAGTTGTTAGAGCACGTGACTCTTGATCTCAGGGTTGTGAGTTTGAGCCCTACGTTGGGCATAGAGATTACTTAAAAAAAATGTCACAACTCTTAATCTGTAAAGAGTAGTATACTTCCCTGAAGACCACATTACTTGGAAAACAAAAAACGAGACTAAACTATTCAAAATAAACATCCCAAGGTTTATGGAGAAAATAAACTTCTATAGTAAAGCAAAATTTTGCAAATCAAATCCCTAAATAGAGTTGAAATATTGAGGAAGATTTCAAGATGTGAACCAACTCAACAGTATGCTAGACATTGTAATTTCCTCACCCTGTTATTCCTGTCCAGAGCTTAGTTGTATTTGCTGAATAAAGAAATAAAAATTGTGTCTCCAGGACCTAACATAATATCTCATGCATAGCAAGGGGTTTATAATATGTAGTGACTAAATGAAGTCATTCACCAGCCTCCTTGCTTATGGATTGCATAAATCCATCATAAAAATCAGAGCTAACATCTATTGAATACTTACTATCTTCAGACATTATTCAAAGAGCTTTATATGAATTCACTCATTTAATCCTGATAACAACCCGTGAAGTAGATCTAGTGATAGTTCCATTTTATAAATAGAGAAACCGAATTTGTCCAAGTTCAGCAGCTGGTGTAGGGCTTACATTTGAACCTGGTGTGTTTCCCTGGGAAACCCATGTACATCTCCTGCTTTTCTCTTTCCAGAGGGTTCCCCTTCCTCATCACTGCCTCCCGAACTCGCCCGCCCTCCTGCCAACTCCACCCCCAATACCAAATTAAACCGTAGGCAGAGGTTCCAAGTTTCTCTCACTCCAGAGGATTTATTGGCTACCAAAATTGCTCCAAAGGTTGCCAAACCAGAAATAGTACTGATGCAGCTACTCTGGAAAACAGTAGGGAGGCTCCTCAAAAAGTTAAAAATAGAACTACCCAACGACCCAGCAATTGCACTACTAGGTGTTTAGCCAAGGGATACATAGTGATCCGAAGGGGCACATGCAACCTGATGTTTATAGAAGCAATGTCCGCAACAGCCAAACTGTGGAAAGAGCCCAAATGTCCATCAACAGATGAATGGATAAAGAAGAAGTGGTGTATATATGCAGTGGAATATTACTCAGGCATCAAAAAGAATGAGATCTTGCCATTTGCAATGAGGTGGATGGAACTAGAGAGTATTAGGCTAAACAAAATAAGTCAGTCAGAGAAAAACAAATACTATAGGATTTCACTTATATGTGGAATTAAAGAAACAAAACAGATGAACATAGGGGAAGGAGGGAAAAAGAGAGGTAAGTAAACCATAAGAGACTCAACAATAGAGAACAAACTGAGGGTTGGTGGAGGGAGGTGGATGGGGGGATGGGCTAAATGGGTGATGGGCATTAAGGAGGACACTTGTGATGAGTGCTGGGTGTTGTATGTAAGTGATAAATCACTAAATTCTACTCC